TTAGCTCATGTTGATACAGCTCTTTGGAAATCTGGACTAGACACCAGTGATTTTGTATGCGTTCCTGTGCCCATCACTGTGCCATCGGGAGTCAGGAGATTATTACTGGTTACTATTAACCCAAACCTAATGTTGATGGCAAATGTTGTCCAAACACAAGCAAGTGACTTATGAGAAGAGGCTGCGGAAACTGGGCTTATTTAGTGTGGAGAAGAGAAGACCGAGGGGGGATTGAATAGTAGCCTTTAACCCCTGCAGGGGGGCTGCAAAGAGGATGGAGCTGGACTGTTCTCCATAGAGGCAGATGACAGAAGGAGCAATGGGTTCAGGCTGCAGTAAGGGAAGTTGAGTTGGATATTAGGAAAAACTTTCTTACTAGAAGGGTGTTGAAGCACTGGGACAGGTTGTGGACTTGGAGGTTTTTAAGACCCAGCTGGACAAAGCCCTGGCTGGGATGATGTAGTTGGGGCTGGTCCTGCTTGGAGCAGGGGGTTGGATTAGATGTGACCTCCTGGTTACCATCCTCCACAGCTTCGTTAAGAATCACACATTCCCCAAGCATTACTTCACCGCCCCTCCACGCTCTGCACACAGGCTAATGTGTAACCTGCATTCCAAAAAAATGGAAAAAGAAAAGAAAACCCCAGCTGCACGGAGTCTTTCTTAAAAGGACAGTACTTATTTTTCCAAGCACTTGTTAAACAGCATGTGACCTGCTCGATCTGAAACAGGATGGTGCAGAAAAAAAACCAACCCATGTCTGTATCCGAGATAAGATTCAAGACCCAATTTTAAATGAGTTAGGTAACCTGACATGCTCTACTATTCATTGTTATTCAGAACTAATATTAACTCTAAATATATTATTATTACTGCTATTACTACTCTTTGCATTGCAGCAGATCCTACATGACCCGCTGTTGTGGTTCAGCAGTAGGATCCTTGTCTGCTGTGCGAGAGCCAGGATTCAATTCCTGGATGCATGTATAACTATAGCCATTGAGGCACCAAATGTCCAGACTCAGTCTGCCCTTTGAATACTGTCTCAATGGCCTAAAAGCGGGGTGGAAGATTTGGGAAGCCTGTAGTCCTCCATACTCCTTCCTAGGTGTATGCGCTGAAGGTCCTGGTGACCTCTCACACATCCACCATGGTCCAAAAGCTGATGGCTGCCTACCAGATCCTATATGTCACTGGACTAGCTATCTTGGGTCTGCACAATTATCCCCTCTTCAACCACAGCACAGACCCAGCCCTAAGAGGCCCACAAGTCACAACCTGATAGGCCAAAATTAAGCAGATGCACGAAGGCCAGGCAGGATGGGGGTTGTAATCAATGTAGGCAGCCATCAGAATAAATGCAATGCATCAGCCTGATAGCTACCTAAGCTACTACATCTGGTAACTACTATTGTATTGCCCCACAGTACAATAGCTCATTAATAACCCATCAATAACCCCACAAAACTATGCCCGCAAACACTTACCCACGTGCTAAAGTTCACTACCTTGGGTAGGTCTGATGGTATCAACAGAGCTACTCTTGCAGCAGAAGCAGCATTTGTGGAAGTGTTTGGAGGTTTGTTGCCTAAGAAACTCCATAAAAAAATCTATCCAAAAGCTAAAGTTCAGACTAAAGATCACAGGATTGCAGACAATGATGGTTGACGGGACCTCAGGAGGTCACATCTAGTCCAACCCCCAGCTCAAAGCAGGACCAGCCCCAACTACATCATCCCAGCCAGGGCTTTCTTGGGCTGAGCATTGAAAACCTCCAAGGATGAAGATGCCACCATCTCTCTGGGTAACCCATTCCAGGGCTTCGCCACCCTCCTAGAGAGAAAGTTTCTCCTAATATCCAACCTGAACTTCCCTTGCTGCAACTTGAGCCCATTGCTCCTTGTCCTGTCGTCTGCCCCCACTGAGAACGTCCTCTTTGCAACCCCCACTAAGATACTCTCTTAGTGCCTCATTAAACTAGACTTAGTGAGTCCATCCGCATTTCAGCTCTGACCCTCATTTAAAACAACAGGGCAATGACAATGAATTTCTGAATGTCTCAAGACTCTGAGAGATGACAGGTCCCCTATTAATACACACAGATGAATTATCTCACATTAGAGATAATTCAATTGTGTCATTAATAGCGCTGGGAACATCACACAGTGAATCCGACCATGTTGACATAACGGCAGAAAGTTTGGGGGAACCCACTTCAGATTTGCCAACTCTTGCGATTTTATATGGAATCAGGTGATATCTAGTATTTTCTTAAGTCCCGCGAAGTCATACAGCTCTCTGGATGAAATCTCTGCTTTCATTTAAAAATAAAAGGTAGGTTTCAAGCCTTTAGACTAGCAGAGAAAAGATGAAATGCTTGAGCCTAAACTCTCAGAAACCAGAGAAGGTAGTAAAAAGAAACACATGTATTATTTTTAGGAATCCCATGATTATTAAGCAATTCTAACGATTTGGCAGAATTGGATGTATTTTTGAGCCGCTAATGCTGGCAGTTCTACCATACCATTTAGCCAATAAAAAGAAAGCCAAAATATAATATGTCACTGGCTGAAATGCCTTTTTTAAAAATCTAACAACAAAAAGCTGGCTATACTATTGCTATATCTAGAGATTTGCACTGGACATTTTATAAAGGCACATGCTGCCAACACTGAAGAAGAAAAATAAGCATTAGCCCTTTAGCAAAAAATATCAGTCTGCCTTCTATAAATTGGCCAAGGATGGCTATAGTGGTGTTGGGGGACTTAAATTACAGCCGTAGCAAGCAGTCTGGATTGGAGAGTTTGCACTCGAAGGCAAAATGCTCTGGGTTAGTCTGCTGCAATGTTGAAACCGAGGGAAGAGCACAGATTTCTTCTCTTTTGCTTCAGCGTTGTGGGTCTTCCTTAGTGGGGTGATTTCAAGCAAAGTTTGTGTTCCTGGTAGGACAGATTGCTGCATCCTGGCCTATGATTTAAAAAAAATGGTTAGGGTTTTATCTGTTTCGCCTTGGTTGGTGCCAAAGCCTTAAAAAAAATGTGAAACAATTTTAGAGGTATTGTCCTTTCAGGTCATACATAGCAGGTGAGATTTCTCAGCTGCAAATGTCTCTTCAATCTGAGCTTTGAATCAAGGAAGGATGCTCATACTGGAGAGACACTGAATCAAGCATTTCTGGTCTTGCGGAAACTCTCCCGTTCAAAACTGAAATGGCTCTGGGCCAAGGGTCTGAACAACTTCCTAATGTTTGCCCTGATGTAAAAGTCGTGTACAAGAGATCTGAGTTGTTTCTGGTCTTGGCTCAGCCAGGCTCACGCTCCTTTGGGAGGCCTGCACTGACCTTGAGAGGCAAGTGCTCATCAGCACTATGAAAACTCAAGCATCCAAATCAAAGTAAAATAGAGCTGGACGGGCCCTCAGGAGATCCTCTAGTTCCCTGCTCATCCCTGTCTCAACTATCCTAGACAGGGTCTGCTTGTCTTGCCCTTAAATATTTCCAAGGATGGAGATTTCACTGCTTCTCTGGGAAACCTGCTCCAGTGTTTGACCGTAACCAACATTAAAGTGCACGGCCCTCAAAGAGGAGTGCTCCAGGCTGGACACAGCGGGCATTTATACACATATAATTGTCTGCTCCAATGCACTGGAAATCCAGTGCGTCGGAGCAGACTTGATTAATCAAGTCTGCAGAGCACACGAGCCAACGCACCTGGCACTACATGGCACGCATTTGTATAAAGGGCACAATGCTGAGAAAATGGTGGTGATGCACTTGGAAACTAAAACACCTTTGACGGGTTTTAGTTCAAAAGCCCACTACCACCATTTTCTCAGCACTGATGCACATTTCACCATTAATTCAAATGCATGTGATGCTTTTACAAGAGCCCAGCGCTGCATTGCATCCATGTGTGCATGTGCCCAGCAGTGGAGGTTTGCAGCAGCAGAGCTTTTTCCCTTCACAAGGTGCCCGAGTGTGGGGTGAGAGGGAAGGAGAGACTAGAGGGAGTTCGTCCCAGCTCACCTTTGGCATCTGTGAGAGGTTGGGTTGGCCTGGGGGAAGCGGGTACTGAGCATCATGCACGCAAGCTCAGAGGAAACCACATGAGGGGTGAGCAAAGGGCTATTGAAAGACCGAGTGGGGCTGGAAAGCGCAGTGGTCTTTGTGTTGCCTTGTTTTGTGCTTGACTTTGAGTTAAGGTTTGCACCAGGGGCAGGACAGCCCTGTTCGAGGGTATCGGAAGCCGGAGTCAGCTACCAGACGAGCCAGAGGGCACGGCGTCCTCTGCCCGCTGCTGCCTGCAAACCCAGCTGAAGCCAAGGTTGTGAGCGCAACCCCGAGCTGCACTTCTGCTGACCACTGGAGAGACTGCAAAAGGCATTTTCTTGAGCATCACAGTATTAACTCAGAGTACCCATGCATTTGAAGTGCTGTGTTACCAATGGGAAGTATAGTAGGTTGTAGCCAAATTAGTGAATGTTGGGTTGGCTTTTGTTGATTGTTAACCAGTATTATTAGCTCAGTTAGGCATTTTTTCTTTTCGTGTCATTTATAAATTCAAGTTCCTATAGTGTGTGTGTGTGTGTGTGTGTGTGTGTATGTATATGTATATGTGTGTGTGTGTGTGTGTATACACATACATATACATTATACATATGTATATGTATATATACATATACATTTACATTAACACACACACACACACATATGTGTATGTATATATGTATGTGTTTGTGTGTGTGTGTGTATATATTTAACATGCACACACACACATATATATATAGTATTAACATTTGCATATATCAGTTTCTATCATGTCTTGCACTGGAGGACGGGAACGTGGAGTACTCTGCTGCTCGGCCACTACCGTTTCTTTGGTGGACTGGGAGAAAGACCGAGGCCATTGGCACCCCCTGGATCTGAAATTAGCAGTAGGCCGGCCTCTAGCATGGTTTACGTGACCGCTCTCATAGCCTTAAAGTTTTTAACTTCTTACTACGAGGGTGGTCAAGCAGTGGAAAAGTCTAGAGAAATTGTAGACTTTTCATCCTTGGAGGTTGTCAAGAGCGGGTTCGACAGATGTGTGGCTGGGGTGGTTTGGTCAGGGATGATCCTGCCTTAAGCAGGGAGCTGGACTGGGTGATCCTGTGAGGTCCCTGCTATCCCTGCTTTCCTATGATCCCACAATGTCCAAATCTGCTGTTATTTAAGACCATTGCTCCTCATCGTTTCCCCTGTGGCCATAGAGAATAGTCTATCACCATTCTCTTTACACTCTGCCCTTCAGGTATTTGAAGCCTGTTCTCACATCCCCCATGGGTCTTCATTCTTCCAAATGCAAACGATAAGCGTAAATCTTGTTAAAACACATCACTTTATCTCTCCACACCTTACACAGATAGTGCCCTAGTGACCGTCTCTTGTACAATGCTGTCACCTGCTTGGGTTTGGGCAGAATAGCAGTGAGGTAGATTGAACACGATTCTTGTATCCACTCTTTGAAATCCAAGCAGCTATTACAGTCTTCTCAGTAGGAACGACAACTAACACAGCAAACTCCACCTCTTATCTTGGCAGAGAGACATGAGGAAGGATGCCAAGATTCAAGTCAGAACGGGAGCAGAACAGACAAAGACTAAACTGGTTCATAAAGTAACAGGACCATGGCACTAAGATATGTAATGCCATGATAGTACCCTCCTAGGACTGTGTGACAGTCCCAGTGTCTGGGGCTCTCTAAGACTGTGTAATCCAGTCCTTGCCTTAAGCATCCACCCATTTAAATGCAATGAGACACAACCTTGGGAGGCAACAGCATCAGTAATACGGGACATCAAGGTGTCATATATAATGATGAGGAAGCATAATTGGTCTCCTAATATTTCCCAAGGAGAGAGTCCACCCACTGAGAAGCCAGATACTACATGGGCTCACTGGTCATTAGCACAATAATCCTGGAAATGATCCCTTTTTGCAGTGTAAGAGCTGTAAAGCCATAGTGGTTGCCACGTGGCCTTTTTTTTCATCTACCACATCGTCTCCAAAGGGTTCATCCCTAGCCATGAGAAAGATTGTTTTGTTTTTTGGCAATGGCTGATCTGCTCCATGCCGACCCCGGCATCGAAGCAAAATGCATGCGTTTCACATGAGAGCTTCCAATCCCGTCAAGGTGCCGCATGGGAAGCGCTGTGTAAAACCTGACGCTCATCATTCAGCAGCCGTCGTGGGCAGTAAAAGGGATCTCTCCATACGGGGCATGCAGCCTGCAAGCTAATATCCCCAGCATGGCTGAGCCGGCCCAAAGGACTGGGATTGCCATAATGCTGAATCCAGATGTGCTGTACGCTTTGCCTCTGGGAAGGTATACGTTCGGAACCAGCCACCTGGGGGAATTGTATTGTGTATTCGTGAAAATATTGAGGTATTCCCTGCCTCCTGCCATCCCACGTGGAGGGAGCACATTTCTGTCTGTACTGCCCAGGGTGGGGGCCAGATGGGCAATGCCTGCCGGGAGCTGCAGGATCTAGGGCATGGAAGCCAGCCATCTCTTTGGGGCCAGCAGACTTCCTTGGAGATTTCTTCGGTCACAGTGAATCAGAGAAGCCCATGAAGTGTTCACAGACCCAGAACCTACTGCTTCTGCAAGGACGCTCTGCAACAAGGAACCTGAGCCTCTGGGACACGTCTACATCATGGTGGCAATGAGACCTGCTAAGGATGTTCTCAAGTATGCCCCAGTCCCACTCACATGCTTCACTCCTGGAAATACCCTGGTGAAGGCACCCCGGGGTGCTGCAGCAGGGCTGCCCTCAGGACCCTGGTCTTGGGTGTGCTTCAGTGTCCACTGAGGACATCCCTGACCAGGTGGGCAAGGCTACCTCATGGCCATCACAGCTATGGCATGCTGCTGCCACAGGTGGATGTGTTTTTGGCCAAAGGCATTTTCTCTCTGCCCGAGCTCCGGCATCCCTGGGGAGGTCGGAGAACAGAGGTTTTCAACCCCCAGTTTCTGCATCCATCACTGCTTCATGCTTGAAGTTGGCAACTCCTGGAAACTAGAAGCCCTGATAAGCACTAATGCTGATGGTGGAGGCATTACAAACCCCATCCTCACTTGCCTCCAGGATCCCGGCTGGCACCTACCACTTGCTCTTTCACCGTGAGCAGCTCATCACGAGGAAGGAAATCACTGATTACCAATAAAAAAACTCTTAGAATAGTAATATTCTTGGTCTCTTAGAGCATTAGTTCTCAATGGACAGAAAGCAGGGTTCTCATCCTAGTTTGACAGGGCCAGAAAGGACCTCAAGAGGTCACTTAGTTGGGATGGTTTAGATAAGGATTATCCTGCCTTTGCCAGGGGTTGAACTAAGTGCATCTAACATGCACTTAAACAACTCCAGTGATGGAGACTTTACTCTTTCTAGTTCACCTGTCCCAATGTTGAGGCACCCTCAGAGTTAGAAATTGCTTCCTAATAACCAACCTAGATCTCCCGTGTTGCATTTAAGTCCATTGCTTCTTGCCCTGTCCTTTGTGGATGCTGAATAGCTGACAGGAATCCTCTCTGTAAACCCTTTCTGGTATTTAAAGATTGTCATTGAAGCCCCCTTTAGTCTTCTCTTCTCCAGACTAAATACCTTCAGTTCTCCCCACCATGCCTTGTAGGCATCCAATGCATTTCCACATGGACATCCATTCCCAGCTTCCCCACAGCGGTACCCGGGCAATGGGCACTAGGCAGGCTGCATGCTAAGTAATGCCAGAGCCAATGCTGAAGTCTGGGTCCAGCCAGATCACAAGTCTGACCTGATGTGCACAACATGGGCATTTGTACATAGGCATTGGGGAAGGGATAGAGGAGGCAAGCTCAATGAAGCAAAAAGGACACGGCTGCTCAGGAGAAGGATTGTGAAGAGGCTGGAAGGGATTCTGTGAACGTGGGAAATCATGAGAACCGATTCTCCAATGATTGTTACAAAGGCAATTCTAGGAAAATAGCCAGCATGCCTTCATCATGATGTTAAGATTCATCTTCCTAATTATTAATCACTAGTGCTGCTTAATGATTAAAGGCAAGGTCATGCCAGGAATTGGGAAGCAGCAACAAAACGGTGCACCATGCACAGACTGCTCAACAGCTCTAACACTGCTGGACTTGGAATAGCAACACTGTCCATTTTTAACTCTCTGCCGCCTTGGGATGCTGCAGTCCTCCCTGTACCAGGGGTCTCCCCACTTTCCAAAAAAAAATCAGACACGCATGAGCGTACAGCTCTTTACCTAATCTCAAGCATTTTTTCTTTTTTTTTTTGACTCTATGGCTGAGCTGATTCTGTCAATCGGGGTAGGCAGGACTTGGAGCAAAGCTGTAAACCTGCTGCTCTGCATACCAGAGAGTTAGAAAGCAGCCCTGGGGAGAGGCACGGAGGAGAAAACTCTAGGTGTGGAAGGGGAAACTATTCTAGAAACATACCAGCAGCAACCATCTCATAATAGATCAACCACCGCATGATCAAGGTGGCGGGACAGCTGATATTCCCTTCCACCACCCCCACAGAGCTGGGTTTCTTAACCCCACTGATGCTGCAATGAGTAGCAGGCCGTGCAGCTGCAGGGAATGGGATCATGTTACTCAAGCGCCTTGCTACCCTGCGAGCCCCTGCTAAAGTAATCCATATAGGGCTGCCAGAGTTCATGCAGTCGGGAAATCTGATTGGAGTCTATATGAGGGAATGCATATATTTGAGATATTTGTCAGGCCACTAGAAAAAGCATGTGCACTTCATTCCCTACCAGGCCTTTACTGAGTCTGAAAGAAGAATGCATGTGGGGGTGGGGGGGGGGGGGGGGGGGG